TGGAGAAAACCGTTAAAATTCCCTTTCTTCTGCCGTGTAACAATGGCTATATGACTTATGTTAAATCAGTCAAGTTTCGATCCCGGCTTGAAGTGATCGGATGTCTAGCCACGCTGAGGGGCTGTGATACAGCAAAACAGTTTATCTGTGGATAACTATATATATATATATATATATATATATATATATATATATATATATATAATTATTTATTCAAAAATATGATTCCAATTCGCGACATAAGAGGTCTCATGTTTCAAAACAAGAGCCGAAAACTTCAATATAATTATTTAAATTAAATTGAGTTAAAGTAAGCTCTGTTCCATCTTCAAGCGAATTTTTTTTTTGGAATAACGTATTTCTGAAATTTACGCGTTTTAATAATTGAAATCAAAATTTCCATGGTAACAGCTAGGGCGAATTGTTTAATTTGGGTAGGCGTGTGTTGGGTGTTAATAATAAGTATCAGTATATATATATATAATAAGTATCAGTATATATATATATATATGCAATATGCGAACACCAAATCAAATTATTTCTACAGGAATTAAATGGCACCAACGCTAAATATACAGCACAAGGAAACATTAATATCTTTTACTGGAACCAGATGCACAAAAATTACAAAGACGAATTCGCCATGCGATATATAATTAAGCAATACACTTCGTCTGTCGGCGGCCCGAATAAACGGCTAAAACTTAAAATATAGTATAAAAAATTATCAACTGACAACTACATTATTACCAATAACAACAAACCTATGAAATCCAAACTTTAGACTACAAATGTATTTTATCGTTGACCCATAAAAGACTGGGATTCTTGTACTAAACAAAAAGACAATCTTGACTACCTCGGACAGACGACAATGTCATTAAGTCGTTCACTGACGAACTACTTAAGAGGTCCGAGTTCTATAGGGAAGCACTTAAACACTCATACTCCACTCCTTATAGATAACACTGTCATTCTAAGAACGCCTAATTGTAAAAGACACTTAAAGATAAACGAAGCACTTTTATATAAAGCGTTTTAAGTCGAGCTTCAATGTTACCTTCTTTGAAACCGGGCAGAATGTGTTTTAACGGCACCGCAACGTGGAATTGCTAGTAAACCCGTCCAGCACGGCGTAAAATTACTACTACATCTGCACAATGCAACTTAGAGCAAAAACACAAGAAAATATACAAACAATGAACCCTTTGACAGTGGCTATTGAATTAACTGAAATAATTTGGGACAATAATCACTACAATATATACTAGAGAAAGTTTATATACTCTCTTACAAGAAAAAAGAATCTTTAAAAGATCAGAAAATAAGGAAAAAGGCATTAGCCTACAACAATGCATACAAAAACTGTAAAATTTGTCCGGAGGAGAAAGTAACTATAATTACCGTTTCCAGACCAACAAAAATTACTAAATAAACCACCAAAATCTCACTTGCTATATTCTGTCTTAATTTTTGTTCTTTTATTGTTCTCGTTCTATTGACCTTCAGATAACGTGAACTTTGGCTCAAAAAACCCTTTTGATATTTTCCCTAATCAACTCCCCAAATTCCATCACATATCACAATCTTTTTCCCAACCTCTCTTCACCTTGTCCTACAATCCCCAAAACCTCTTCACCCGAATATTTCCGATTCTTCACTATTGTTCTCTTATACCACGGAAAAGATAATGCCAGCAACTGTAAATAGATGGGTATAGGAGGTATTTATGAGAGAGCCAAGCCACTATCTCTTGTATGACTGCTGATGTCTTTGTCACCAAACTTTCCATTTTTTACCACTTAGTCTCTAACACTGAGTAACCACTTGCATTTTAGTGGTGGTATTGCCTTGCTTGGGTTCTAATGATTTAAAAAAACAACCAAAAAGTTATTATTTTATTCAGGTATATTCATCAAATATCTCTATGGTAAAATAGTCTCCAATTAATTTTTATAAACGTTTTTAGTATTTGACGTTTCACTATATATGTAATCGTTAGAATCAATAAAAGTTTTGACATGTTTGCTTAATAAATTCTATTAAAAACAAGTTACCTAACCAGCTGTTATTCGTATTATGAACGGTTTTCAATTGGAAATAACGTTAATTCACCTGCTATGAGTGTGGAATAGATGGTAGCGTCACGTGGCTAAAATGACTTTGCTGTTCAAAGCTATTTTCACACGTGCGCTCTCAGACAGAAAGTAATTTTATTGATTGTAGGTTGCTGTCTTTTGATGTGAAGCACCTCCAGAATGTTTAATTTTTTTTTTTTTTTTTTTTTTTTTTTTTTAGGTTAGCAACTAAACCCACCCCGGTTCCAAAAAATTCAAGTAAAGGAGGAGTAGAATAGAAAGAAGAAAAAAAATGATTGACTATCTATATGCTGGCATGTCGAACATTAAGCATTTTGAAAATAAGTTATCTGCGATGATATTCTGAGATGATACTTAACAAAGGTAGTCTTAATTCCCCACTCGACTTTATTCTATCAGGAGAGACGTCAACTTATTCTAAATTAAAACTGGCTTCGGCAGAGGTAGTTTGAAATTAATACTAGCTCAAGACCCAAGGGGCCATCCACTAGTTCAAGGGGAGTATTGCCCGGCGCATGAGCTGTACCCAAAAAGAGGAAGTGTCGAGGGGGCTTGAACAATTTTGTATTGCCGTTAAACCGACTTTAAACTAACCTTGTGTCACATCCACTAGCGATATATATATATATATATATACACACACACACACACACACACACACATATATATATATATATATATATATATATATATATATACATATATTTACATATATATATACATACATATACATATATATATATACATATATATAGATAGATATACATATATATAGAGAGAGATATACATATTGTCGGAGTACTGTTGTATTATCGACCAAAATCTGACAAATTAGAACAGACACCGTGAATTTGTGTTATAAGTTTAGATATGTCGTGGTTTGGTTTGGTTTATTTTGTTTTACGGCATTGGTGAAAGTGTCCAGTTTCAAATACTTGGGAGCACCACTATCAGTAAATAACACCTGCAACGCAGAAATCTGCACACGGATTGCCACTGTCCCAGCAGCGATGTGCAGACTGGAAAGGATATGGGAGAGCAACATCAGCTTCCAGACCAAGTTCAACCTCTAATCAAGCGCGTATCCATTCTTGTCTACGAGTGTGAGACTTGGACACGACTGGTTGAGACAGGAAAAAAGGATCCAGGCATTCGAGAACAAATGCTCGAGTTTGCTTCTCAGCATCTCACACTGGGAGCGCAAAACCAATGACTACGGAGCAAGGGGAAATGTCTCGTGGCCGACGGGAATCTCTTCTTGTCACAACACAGCGTTGGAAGATGTCATAGTTTGGCCATGTCAACCGACATAACGGCCTCTGCAAGACCATTATGCAAGGCACGGTTGAAAGCAGAAACATCAAAGCAAAAGCTGACCAGACAACAGTGGACGAACATAACAATGCCAGACCCCCTGAGAGCCACTACCTCCTGGAGGTCTTTTTGTTCTGGCCTGAGGGTGCTCGACAATTGAAACAGTCAAGAGACTGATGATGATGATGATGATGATGATGATATCCGTTACACTACCCGATTGATTTGAGTAGCAAGGCATTTTCTCTTAATCGAGTTTACACCAAGCAAGGCAGTAAACGCCCTAAGACACAGGGGATTACTGGGTATGGAAGAATTAGAAAACAGAAACGTTTCCAAGAGGCAAGAGCAAACAGGAGGACAGTAGATAGCGACTGACATTGCATTTAATTTTTTGAAGATTAAAACTGACTAGAAAGCATGGATCCGCAAGAGAGTTCCACAAGCGAGAAGTGCGGGAAAAGAAACCGTGAGCATAGAACTTGCTATTGCATCTCACCAACTCATCTGTAAATTAGTGAGACATCAATGCCATTCTAGTACTACGCTTAAATTCAGAAAGTCTAGGTACCATAACAAAGAGCGATATTTATTCTGTGTTATGTACAAAAATGTGGCACAAGGCCAAAATGTGGATTGGGGAAAAAGATGGACTTCTGTCTTAACACTGAACTTAGCTAGCCATAATCACTGACCAAAACATACTACAATATTCCTTACACCAAAACAATGCAATCATTTTTACCATTGTTACTACATTCACCATAATACCTCAATGTCTCTATGAAGTCCTAATTAGTCCCTATATATACAATTCTTGTTTATCGGCGGGATATAACAACAATTAAAAAATCTAATCACCAATGTGAAGCATAGCGAAGAGTGCATCCAAACAGTTGCCAGGGTGGCAACTTTACGTCGGTGTGAACGTGACCTAAGCCGAGACACAATACCCAAGCCTTGTGAGTGAAATTTGGTAAGCAGGAGAGTTCCGTAGTCGACGATGATTCCGCACACAGGTTATATCTTCCGGATTGTTGCTTTCCGGCTCAGTACAGTCTTCAAAAATTTAACTGCAACGACAATGACCATCTTCTATCTTCCTGAAACCTGTTCTCTTAAAACAGACCTTCTCCTCACTAAAGTGATATAATGGAATATGCGTACACCTGTGTTCCCCCTCACTGGAATATGATTGGCTGGTGTCCGACATAAATACCGACGGACGTGTAGGTACGACAGAGTCAAAGAGCCTTAGTCTGAGAGCTAAGTCTATAATGATGCCCATTGGACTACGCCGTTGATCTACACTTCTTACCCGCGACTACGACGCGTACCAGTCCATTACTTGCTACCATATTCTACTTGGTTATAGTAGCCAAAACCACTTAGCTACTTCGTTCAAATATATCCCTTTCCGGAACATATCATAAAGTATTCTCGTTCTCTTTCTATCACGATAGCCGATAGCGTCTTAGTGGCATTGTTGCTTTCCTTGGGGTGAAATGATTAAAAAATAGACTGTCAGAATTTTCTTGTTTTTCTTCGATGTCGGATATTCTATTGTCTGTTGAACATGCAAAATCTATGATGGGTGTTCTTTCTTCTTTATCTACAATCAAAATATCTGGTTTTCTGGGCAATTCTCCATGGACATCTGACAAAATAATTTACTTGTCATTTTCAATGACTACATCTAGAGTTTGTCCATATCACGTCCCCGCTTTCACCACCCATACGTGCGTCAAAATTCCCAAAATTATTATTATTATTATTATTATTATTATTATTATTTTCTTTGATTTCACATTTCTTTCCGGGTCCCGCCCAGGGACCTAAGGTTAGAAATGGCATCATGACACTTTCCACTGACAAAAAAAAAAAAAAAAATTACATAGATAAAGCCCTTCGTAAAGTGTGGGCTGTACTTGTCAGAACAATTTTTGTATCTCCTTGAGGCATGGACTTCCAGGAATCCCTTCAATTAGTCTACTGGAAACTTTTCCAACCAGTCCTAGGGCTCCAACTACAACAGGGATTGTTGATGTTCCCATATGCCACATTTTATTATTATTATTATTATTATTGCCTTTGATTTCTGGTGCATATGCATTTCTTTCCGGGTCCCAACCAGAGATATAAGGTCAGAAATGATATCATGACATTTTCACTGATCCTTTTTGTAAAAAAAAAAAAAGTAAAATAAAATATGCCAGGTGTGCAATTAGAACTGGAAATATTGATGTCCTTATGTGACACATTATTTTAGATTTCCACTTCAGAATCCTCGTATTATTATTATTATTATTATTATTATTATTATTATTATTATTTCCTTTGATTTCTGTTATATACTAATTTCCTTCTGGGTCCCAACCAAAGACCTAAGGTCATAAATGGCTTCATGATATTTTCCACTGAACATTTTATAAAAGATAAAAACAACCTAAGATCAAAACAATAAAACAACCTTCGTAAGATTATTATTATCATTATTATCATTATTATTATTATTATTATTTGTGTTTCGTTTCTTGTTTTGTGTCCTGTAGAGCCAGATCCAAACTATGGTCCTTAGGCTTTATAGAATTGTCATTTAATTGATAGCACTTCTTTTAATATATGGGATGTTCCTAGTAGGGCGATCTTCTGGGCAACCTCTATGTTTATGTTACCTGGGACAGTAAAATCGTCCATTCCTTTTCTCATGAGGCCCAGAACTCCGATTACTATTGGTACAGTCTCAGTCTTCATTCCCCACATCCTGTTAATCTCGATCTTCAGGTCCTTGTATTTGGACAATTTCTCGATAATTTTCATATTATTATTATTATTATTATTATTATTATGTTTTGCCACACAATGTAAGTTTTTGAATACCCCGGGTACATTAAGTCATATTTCAAGTCACAACAAGGACCTTAGACAGGCATTTTCCTCGTAATATGCGCAGTGTCCCAAAGAGTCTATATTTGGATGGCTCTAATTTGGTATGGTATTCCGGGCTATAGTTTTAATGGGATTGATCCCAATGCTCCAGTCCAAACTAGAATCATCTTGATATTCCCTTCCTTTATTCGAAACTTGCCATCTCAACTTTCAAATCAGCGTAGATTATTATTATTATTATTATTATTATTATTATTATTATTATTATTATTATTTTCGGTTGGAAGTCATGAGTTTTCTTTGGCAGATGTATTCATACTGGCGAAAGAACCAACCAAAAAAAGAGACACAAAACATATGTATTACGAAGGGGAGAAAAAGAAAACAGCAGGAATGATGGTTATTTCCGGTTATCATTCAAGAATCTTCCCATCAGCAAAACAGAGGCGCAAAGGCTGCATCTCAGGCCCTCAAGAGATCAAAAAACAAAGTAAATAAAATTAAACTCAAAATTCAATATTCGTACAGGACGTCGACTACAATGCAAATGTTTGTGGGTTCAATCTTACGTTGCTTCAGTAAATTAGTGTAGCCTGAACTTAGTAATATATATATATATATATATATATATATATATATATATATATATGTATGTATGTATATATGAAGAAATATAGTCTTAAGGTGTGCTATATTTATGGGGTAAAGTGCTCAATATCAGAGATAGAGCGTGTGTAAATATAAAAAGCATGAAGCATAGTCTGCTTCATGCTAGACGCAGGCCTGACGATTGCATCTAGCATGCTTCATGCTAAGTGTTGACTTCTATGTTAACTTTTATATATATATATATATATATATATATATATATATATATATATGAGATAATGATATATATTATTATATATCAGAAACAATACTCAGGAAAAATGTATGACAACGCGGAAAAAGTTTTGTGTGCCGCGTTTCGTCCCTTAGGACATCATCAAATTAATTTTGTTATGTTGGGGCAACAAAGGAAGAAACTCTTCAAACAAAAACTTTTTCCACTTTATCATAGTTTTTCCCCAATATATATATATATATATATATATATATATATATATATATATATGGGTTCGCACAAGCCGATTCTTAAAATTATAAAAGCTTAGCGAACCGGTTGTTAGACAATCCGAAAATAATCTTATATATTAATAGCCGATATATAATAGCTAAAAATATAATTAATACTATTGCTGTTAATTCTCTGGAGGCTGAAAGAGGCTTTTTCTGTAGTGGAACATATTTTATTCTGACAAAAGTCTTGAAGTTAAAAATGTGGCAAATCTTCTAGTCATAAATTTGATAGGTCTTCCATTGGATCTTTGGGATTGCAACGATTCAGTTCTAATGTGGCTAAAAGACATAACACAGCTGATGACCCTAGAGTCAAAAAAGCATCATACTTCTGAAAAGTATATGACGAGAATAGAATTTCAATCTGGAAATATCTTAATAATTAAATATTTTCTGCTTAATTATCAAAATGGCTTCCTAATTTGCCTACCTTTATATAATAGGTTCCTGGAAATTTGGAATGCCATTATTGTATATATATAATCATCCACAGACAGACTGTTTCGCCGTATCACAGCTCATCAGTGTTCAATTGCTTCAAGACGGGATCGTAACCCGACCGATTTGGCATGTCTACCCCAAGCTATCCTCGCGCGGCAGAGCGGAAGGGAAATTTTAATGTCTTTACTATGCGAAAGACATCAGTAGCAGGGAGAGCTCGATTCAAGTAGAAGAGAATTGCATTAGCAGCAGCCACTGTTTATAAAATCACCGCTTCCTTTTCGAGAGATCAGTCGAATTATTTCGAGAGCATATATATATATATATATATATATATATATGTGTGTGTGTGTGTGTGTGTGTGTGTGTGTGTGTGTGTGTGTGTGTGTGTGAGGGTCGGCTGAAAAGTTCCTAGGCTGGCTAAGATATAAATATAAGTAGATATATCAGTTGATAGACTAAATGAAAGCTAATCGACGAGCTGTTGTATTTTGGTACACTTTTTTCTTTTTTAATCCAATCCCCACCCCTAAGCAGAGCAGTAAAGCCACTAAGATACAAGGGGTAACTTGGTGCAGAAGAATTAGAATACATAAACTAATGTAATGGAATAACCTCTCACCCCCATGAGTCACTACAGTATAGGTAGTAACTAAATATAATTATCTGTAATTCATTGGACTACAGAGACCAACAGGAATCTGTTCCAGCTGTGCTGTCGAACTCTCAGCCTCAAGAAGAGGGACGAGACCACACTCTCGCCTAGACAGACCTGGGCAGAGAGGAATTTTTGTCCGAGACGATTATATATTTTTTAAATAAATGGAGGGTCTACAGCTAAATATTGTTGTCGAAATCCCTTCGGGCAAAAAAAATAACGTTTAAATTCTTTTAACATTAATTTGCTTTTATGTTAAAATAGACCTATGCTTTAGAAAAATTTCAGAAATTTTTGTTTACGTTTGGATACGGAAACTTAAATGCGAGTATATAAAATATTTAAAGTGATGTAAATTCTGTTGGATTGATCAAAATGACGAAAAGATTTTGTTTACGTTTGGATTCGAAACATTGCAGATATGAAATAAGGGGAGATCTATGACGAAAAGATGTTTCAGCCTTGGAACAATTGATTGGCTGACAGATTGTTTCACCCAAAATAAAACTTGACTCAACTGAGAATTTCTGGAAGATAAAGTTTTTAAGGCAACAAGTGTCTTGTAATTAGAGTGCTCGATATAGCAAGATATAGAGTTTTAAGATTAATAAATAAAATTAAACGCTCACTCATCTAATAACTACTCGCAGTTTCAGAGAGACTGCATCCGCACTTCTAGAGACTTGATAGTAAAATTGAATTTATTTTCAGAAGACATGTTTTTTTTTCTTCTGAAATGGTTTCTTAAAATAGATTAACCATTAAATCTCCTGAAGAGTAGATGGAGTCTACGCGGTCATTGTAAAGACAGGATATTTAAACATATAATTTTATTTATTACTCTCTCTCTCCCTCTCTCTCTCTCTCTCTCTCTCTCCTTCTTTCTCCTTCTCTCTTTCTCTTCCTCTGTTTCCCTCTTTCTTCGTCTCCCACCCTCTCGCCCTCTCTCTACCCCTCACTCTCTTTCACCCTCTCTACCCCTCAATCTCTCTTTCACCCTCTCTCTCATTGGGAATAGTCATGTTCTAACAAACAAAAGGAAAAAAGAAGACCTATGCTTAGAAGAAAAATTAACAATAATTAGTTTTGAAAGCAAAATAAACTATTCGACAAGGAAACTAAAGAAATGGGTAAGTGCAGGCATATAAATAAATACTTACTTTGCTATCTAAGCACTAATTAAAGATAAACAAATAAAAGATATATAATATAAACTTTAAATATATATATAAATAAATGAAATATAATATAAAATTTAAAAAATCATTAATAAATGAACGAACAAATATTAAATATACACACGTGTACATGTGTGTGTATGCACATATAAATACATACATACGCACACACAAACAAACAACTAAAAATGAACAATCCCAGTCTGCCATAATTATTACTTCAATATATAATATAACGCCAAGGCAAAAACTAATAAGTCATTAAATAAAAAAACATATATATATATATATATATATATATATATATATATATATATACACACACACACACACAACACACACATATATATATATATATATATATATATATATATATATATATATATATATATATATATATTTATAATCCATATATATATATATATATATATATACGTATGCGTAGCTACTGTATAAACCACTGGTCGTCTGTGCGGATGCAGAAGAAACTCAAATGTACCTGAGCAGGTTTTTGTAATAGGGACTATCTTCCCTACTATTATGGATAAGTATGCTAAGAAACGGAGTTAATCATTATATATATATATATATATATATATATATATATATATATACATGGAGGAAAAATCTAATGGATCACATTTCTTTGACGCAACCAAAAGCGATACGTTTATGAAAAGAACGATCGCAGACCATGAAAAATGGATGGTTTACAACAATGCATAGCGGAATCGGTCCTAGTATAAACGAAATGTCACCATTAGACACTCCAAGTCCTGGTCTGCATAGTGGGATGAGAAGAAAGCATTGGCCATTACAAGCTCCTTCCGCAAAATTAAACGTTGAATTCATCAGAGTTTGAGCAACGTTCGAAACTGGGCCGATTAAAGGCATGCATGCAATAAAAAGCGTCCGGAATTTGGCCAATTGGAAGAAGATCATCTTTCTTTTCTCTTGACCAAAAAGAACTATTACATTTTTCTTTATTTCTTTATTTCTTTATTTTTATTTTCTATTTTCTTTTTATACAGAGCGCACTTTTAGAATAACTAAAACTCTGAGCCGTGTTGAAATTAACAAGGTTGTGGGTTTATTTTTAGGTGAAGGGGCGAGATCAAGAAAAAAAGTAGCTTAAAAGCCGCGCTATCGGTCGGCATTTAAGCTATCTCATGCGAAGGGCTCTTGAATGGGCCTTCGTCACAATAAGTAGGGAGGAGTAGATGTGATCGGCACAATAATGTACAGAACTCGAAATTGATCCCTGCATTTAAGTATTGCATTAATATTTAAGCTTAACATTTAAAAGTTCAAGTTCTTCTGCCGCCACTTAATTTAAAGACAGTTTGATGTACATAGGTCCTTACTTGCCGTACAAACAATTATTTTTATTTCATGGGTGACTTTCGCTGGATTTCACAATAAATGTATTTCTAAGTCATAAAAATTGTTACCGTACAAGAAAAATTTACGCAAGAAATCACGTAAAAAATCGTCGAAAACAATCGCAGTAATGAAAACTTGGGAATCCAAAATTTCGGGATTGCGGGTCCGGATATGACCCGGAATGTTTTTAATTTGCTCACGGGGTCGGACTGATTGCAAATTGGTATGATATGTTGGGCTAGGTCCTCTAGAAGTAAAGGTGAAAACACTGACAATTTTATTTTGAAACACTGTCATTTGAGAACAGTCATTTTTTTCATTTGAACATGAGCTATTGAAACTTAGAGAGTTGTGCCCCTTTAATTGTTTTTATTAGTAGAAGCCAAGATGGCGGAATCCGAAAACAATCGCAGTAATGAAAACTTGGGAATCCAAAATTTCAGGATAGCTGGTCCGGATCCGACCAGGTATGTTTTCAATTTGCTCATGGAGTCGGTCTGATTCCAAAATGGTATGATATGTTAGTCTACGGCCTCTAAGAGTAAAGCTGAAAACACGGACAATTTTATTTTGAAACACTGGAATTTGAGAACAGTCATTTTTTCATTTGAACATGAGCTATTAAAAGTTAGAGAGTTGTGTCCCTTTAATTGGTTTTATATCAGTAGAAGCCAAGATGGCGGAATCCTAAAACAATCGCAGTAATGAAAATTTGGAAATCCAAAATTTCAGGATTGCGGATCCGGATCCAGTCCGGAATGGTTTTAATTTGCACACGGAGTCGGCCCGATTCCAAAATGGTATGAAATGTTGGGCTAAAGCCTCTAGGAGTAAAGTTGAAAAAGTGTGACACACTGAAATTCGCATTTATTATATAGAAGATAAGAGGAACATTAAGAGAGCTTGAGTATATGCTACGTTTGTTTATTTCTTTTACTGTGTTGAAAAAAATTAAATGTCTCTTGAGTATTTCCATTTTACCTTTTTGGTTCAGAAATAATTTATGGGCAGTAAGGATAAGAACGGGCAAAGATGGATTCAAGATAGCCTCGATCTGAGTTGGGAAGACCAAATCTCTACGTAGGGCTGATAAAAGAACGATTCAGTTGGAAAGCGCTAAAGAACTATTCTCACCTTTCTGGAAATTGGGTCATAAAATCGCACATGTGACCAGAAACCCTTTCCGGTTTCTTTATAACTTGCATCATGGGAAAGTTAATTAATTTGCCTTTATTTAATTTTCCTACAGGCGAATTGTAAATTTTAACAGGGAAACATTAGTCATGAAATATGAAAATAATAAAGAAATCTCCTGAAATAAAGCATTTATTTTTCGGACATAACCTTGTATATTTAAGTATGCTTATATGAAACGTCTGCTTGCTATGCTTTGGCAAGTTTTTAAATGTTATTATAAACATACTCTCATTTCTTCATCAATGCATTTAATCTTTGATCTATTTTTGTATTTAATGTTGGTAAATGCAGAAAATCCTAATTCACAGAGGTTTGACGTGGAAAATGGCAATAATGCTTTACTAGCTATTGAAAAATATTATTCTTGAATGGAAATCCCAAATTGATCAATGGACACTTCTTTATGCTTGATTTGTAAGCCATGATCAGCAGAGATGGTGACCAGCTCATCATCTTCCATTAACAATAAGCCAATGTCATCAGTTGAAACGCCAATTGATTTTGATATGGAGGCCATGTGCTTGGTGTCTCTAGCTTATTAAAATAAACATTTACTATTCTCTTTATGTGGGGCGCACGGAGGTAATTTTCAGGGCATACTGTTTGAGAAATGCTGCCCCAGAGTGGTGCCAAGTTCTGGAAGGATGGAATCATGAAGCTACCTCAAAGATGGTGAAAGATCGTGGAACAAAATGACACATACATGGTTGAAGAAATCCATGTACAGTCATGTGAATATTGTCTTTGAAATTCACTTTATAAGCTCCGAATTTTGGGGCACCCGGATGCGGTGTAATGGTTAACAAGCTTGTCTCGCAAGAACAATTACGACTGAGTAGTGAGTTCGATGCTCACTGGGTGCCCCCTACTTTCGGCCTTGTGCCACATATAAGCTACGCTTGGAAAATCACTATAAGCTCCGAACATTTAAGGGGTTACTGACTGTGAGACAATATGAGAAAAAGAAAACAATATTAAGGGGGCGAGAACAATAACAGAACAGGAAGTAAGAAGGTAGAAGATGACGATTGACATTGCATTTCAACTTTTGAAGATCAAGGTTAACTGAAAAAAAAAAAAAAAAACAGAGGAGAGTTCCACAAACGAGAAGTGCGAGTGAAGAAACTGTTAGCATAGAACTTACGGTTGAATCTTGACATTTCAACTGTAGAATGATGAGACCGCGACGCCAATCTAGTACTGCGCTTAAATTCATAATGTTCAGGTAACATAGCGGAAACCTCATCAGAACAATTATCAGGAAAATATCTATAGAAAAGGCATAGGGAAGCTATGATACGGCGGTGGGAACGCGACTGAAACCGAGATGCCAGGTCAGGACTGATAACATTGCAGATTCTTCTTTGTAATTCCTCAAGAATTTCTAAAGACAAAGCAGAAACACCAAATCAAATGTGACTACAATAATCAATGCACACACACACACACACACACATATATATATATATATACGTGGGTCATTCAATAAATAAGGTGAATTTTTCGGTATAAGGACTTCTAATACAGATAGAAGCTTACTTTTTTTTTTTTTTTTTTTATTTTACTTCTTTTTCACATGGATTTAATTTCTTTTGCAGATTAAAAAAAACTTTGAGAGTTTTGGCGATTAACAAAGATGGCCGACCAAGAAGCATGCTCCAGGATTGAACAGCGGTCAGTTATCAAGTTTTTGGTTGCTGAAGAATGCAAACCAGTTGAAATTCATAGGAGAATGTCAACTGTGTATGGTGCCACATGTTTCAGCAAAAAAATGTCCACAAGTGGGCTAAATTGTTTAAAGAAGGACGGAGCAGTTTTGAGGATGAAGACAGGCCTGGGAGGCCTACAGAAGTGAGGTCTCCTGAGGTGATCGAATCAGTCAATGACCTCATTTAGTCTGACAGAAGAACTACTGTGAACTGCTGAGGCAGGTCAAGAAAGACATAAAGAACAAACGCAGGGGTCATCAGTCAGAAGGAGTCATCTTGCATCATGACAACGCAAGGCCTCACACAGCAGCCCAAACGGTGCAGACCATCAACGAGCTGGGCTGGGAACTGCTCCCTCATCCCCCTTACAGCCCAGACCTTGCCCCATCAGACTTTCACCTGTTTGGTCCTTTGAAAGCTTTCACGAGAGGCACGAAGTTTAAAAGTGACGATGAAGTCAAAAGTGTTGTGAGCGACTGGCTGAGACATCAGTCCAAAGATTTTTACGCTGAGGGAATAAGGAAGCTTGTGCACAGATGGGAAAAGTGTGTGACA